TATATACTGATAAAGTACTCAGTATGTATCCTGGTACATAGCACTTTTTCAATAAATGTCAACTGTGATAATAGTGATTATTATTATTTAAGTAAATGTGGCTTGATTGATTGTTGGGGACATTGCAGAGGAATTTGAATGTCAGTTGAGTAGCAAAGGACTCCCTAAAATCTTGAGATTCTATTATTCTACAAAGAGTATACATCTGATCTCTGTATATAGAATACTACTATTGCACTCCACATTTCAAAATGACTCCCAGCAAAATTCACTGAGCTTTACACAAGAAAATCGTTAACATATTTTCTCAGAGGTTTTGAAATTTCTAGTGTGTATGAAATAAGTTGGTAAGTGATGTTTCTGAGTTCATCCTAACAAATGGGAAGGATGCACAGTGACAACTGAAGACTGAAAGACTGAAATTTGCATGCACTATTTAGGGAACTCAGTCTAGAAGAACAGTTCTTAGAGAACTGATTTATGTAGGAAAAAAATAGGACCACAAGAACCCCAATAAGGTTATAAGGTTAGTACAGTTACATATTTACATTTTTGAAAAATGCACCTGAAATTATAATTTCATTGAAATGTACACATACACTTAGGAATATTGTTCTTCATTCAATGATTGTCCTTACCTGCATGTACATGGCAATCTTTAAATTGCACCATTGTTACCATGTATTGTGAATACTTTGCTTACCAGATTCCAACCATGTAGGGACAGGTGGATTATAAAAAAGAATAAGCATATCAGGAAACAAAGGCACTAAATCTATTTTTAAGTTTTTGACTTTTGTTTTATTTTTGGTTGCCAATTCTGAAAGTTCAGTGCATTGATTAGAAGACTTCTGGTCTTCAGAGAGCATTCTAACTTGCATAATGAGACTGGAATGCTTCAACTGGGGAGAGTAGTGTGTGTGGGGAACACTCTCCTCAGCTAAGCACATGCCATTCCGGGAATTAATTACTAAGCTCCAATGAGATTTTTCAAAAGTTAGATCAACATTGGGGTTTCAGAAAAAAATATTTTTTCCTTAGTAGCTAGCAGCAAACAGGAGTGTGGTTTTAAAGTGAAGCATGTTTTTTTCCAGCCATGCCTGGGGGTACTGAGTTTAAAGGAGCTCAAAGAGACCTGTAATTTATTCAGTCAAGTTTGTTTCTGCCCATGGCTGAAGGCAACTGGAGTCAGTTGCTCTTTGCTAGGCAGAGTCTACCCTCAAAAGCCAGGAAAAACAGACAGAACAATCAGCGGCCAAGCCCTCATACCCAAAGCCCATTTGAACGGTGTTAACACTTTAGCCCTGGGAGACGGGACCTGGATAATTAGGAGGTGTCATGATAAATCCCTAAAAACTGAACAGGAACAAAAGTTTATTTTGATGATACGAGTGGGGTTGGCATCTTCTTGTGGAATTTATCTGTCTGCATTATTGATCCTTATTGCTTTGTTAAACAAACATTGAGGCATGTGTGGTGTGAGGATGAAGTAAGGAAGCTGGCTTCCAGCTTAGAGATGAGTTTCATTGTCCTGTTGCCCTAGCGTGTAGGAGGGCTCATCAGCAGTCTACTGGTGAGGAAGGTGCCCTTTTCACAAACCCAGGAGCCTCTGTAATCTCCTGGAAGCTCTGGGAACCAGGGGAACATCAAAGAGATAGCAAATCCCTTTAAGGCAGGTTTTCTGGGTCATTCCCTGGAATTTAAGATTGACTCTACAGTGGATAAAGCTTACCTTTTTTTGTGGCATAGCTAGTCAACAAGACCATTATTTGAGACTGTACCAGAATATTTATTATACAGGAGAATTCATAAGGCTAAATGTGCCTTTAAAAAATAATGGTTGCTTTGTAGCTAAGGGATCTTGAGGCTGGAAGAGAGGTCTGTGCTTCATGAGTGAAGCTGGACTGAGCCTGGGTCAGAGAATTTTTGGTTCATGCTGGCAATCTCCAAGTAAGTGACCAGGCCACTAAGCAGTTCCCAAAGGTGATCTTTCCACTTTTCCCTTCTCATCCCCACTAAACATACAGTATCCTGGGAATACATTTAGTGGTTCTCCTTGGGTAATCCAAACCTCATGATTTCAAGAAAGACCTCATAGGAACAGACAAAAAGCCTATTGATTCATAATTCACTTCTATTTATAACCTCAGTGCGTATTTTTCTTCAATGATAGGAAATGCACGGCATTCCTTGACCCAGAAGTGCATCTGGCTTGTTATTCTCTTAACAACAGTGGCTTCAGTTATGCCAGTGGTGGCATTCCGATTTTTGAAGGTGGATTTATACCCAACCTTGAGCGATCAGGTACGTCTCAGTTGATGAGTGCTTAGAAGCCAGCTCTTGGCTCTTGGAATTGTATCCTTCTGCCTGGACTGGAAGCTCAAGAGGGGCTTATGAAATTCTCATAAGCAAACACCCTTGGGTCGGTGGGACCACATCAGAGTAGATGGGTCTGCCCACATCTTGAGGGTACTAGTCCTGAGTGCCAATAACGAGAGATGTCTAGACTAAATGTGTGTGTGTGTGTGTGGTGGGGGTCATAAGTTCAAGTTAAGGTGGGTATTTTAAAAAGCTGACTTTTAAAAAGGAAGCCCACTGGACCATTGTTCCAAAAGAGAGGCAGCTATGGGGAAAGTGATTGACTTGAGGACAAGTAGAGGGTAGAATATAAGAGAGACAAGCAAGGTGTGGGTCAAGGGGCTCAACATTTTTGTAGAAACACAGCAGATTCAGAAACATGGGAAGAGGTTGCCTTCTGAATGGATGAAGAAAGGGAACAGCAGTGTGAGGGATGGGTCAGGAGATAGAAAGTTAGCAGGAAAATAGGAAGAACACGTGATAGAAATAACTAAACTAGGGAAGTAACAGAACGTATTTCAGTGCTTCATGGAAGGGGCAGTGAGCAGGACAGCGTCACGTGGGCCAGGGCACAGATTAAAGGAGAGAAGGAGAAAGAAAGAGGAGATATACACATGTCTTTGTAGCCATGTCACGAGAAGGGGTACAGTGTTGCTGGGGTGAGTGGGAACAGGCCAAAGCTGCTGAGAGGAAGTGAGGCAGAGCTGTTTTTACTGTGATGACCCTCCCATTATGGGACCAAAGGAGGAAAAGATTCCTTCCGAAAAGATTCACAGTGTCCCTAGTCACATCTGTCCTCTCTCTGTGGCCCTGTGAGCTCATTCTGATAGAGACCCAGAAAATTAAGGGTGAGCTGAAGGAAGGAAGAGGTTGCTCATTTTTCTATGAGCTGACTGCGAGCTTCTATGAGCTGAAGGAAGAGGTTGCTCATTTTTCTTTAAGCCTGACATGAGCTTCTGCTTAACAGCTTTCTCCTGACGCAAAAGTCAGACTCAAGCCATTTGCCAAATCAGAGGACAAGGTCTTTTACAGTAAACCTCAGGTTTTTCTCTCCTTGACATTACAGGGAAGTGAAAGAAGTTCTGGAACACTCCCCCCCCCCCATACTGCTGGGCATTTAAAGAAGCCATGAATCCCCTACTCCCCAAATTAATCAAAACCCTGAGAGCCTCATGATACCTTGACCTATAATAAAAGTTAAAAATTTCTGACTCTTATGTCCTATATTTTCTCTTAGTCCAGTTACTGATAACTGTTGGATCCAGAGAAAACCTAAAAGAGAGGGGAAGGGCAGTTTTGGGAGAACAAGACTATAAATTGTTGTGGGGAGATAGTGGTGCATGTTAGAAAGTCTCTCTGTGCAACCGTGTCCTTCTGTATCTTTAAGATGCATAAGATGAAGACAATAATGAAATTTGTCTGGAGAATTCTTGTTTACTTAATAGCCTCTTGGTAGGAATAAAAACTGACTAGTGCCCCAGTGTCTAGTGAGATCTTCCGGGTAGAAGATTTCTTAGGGTTTTATGTTTAAAACCTCCTTTTGCAATGAAGGTGACTATTTTGTCATCGTTAATGTTGTTCTGACTGAAAAGGCTTTCACTTTACAAAGTGGCCCACTGCCTGGAGTCTGACGTGTGGATGTGTCATCTCACCCCGGGTCTTTTCCTCTCCAGATCCGCCGGTGGCAGAAGGCTCAAAAGAAGGCAAGACCGCTAAGTAGCCGAAGGCCTCAGACCCGCAGGTCAAGCTCAAGAAGATCTGGATATGCTTTTGCTCACCAAGAGGGCTATGGAGAGCTTATCACATCTGGAAAAAATATGCGAGCTAAAAATCCACTGCCAACATCAGGGTTGGAAAAGACACTTTATAATAGCACTAGCTGGATTGAAAATTTATGTAAGAAAACCACAGACACAGTGGGCAGCTTTAGCCAGGATAAAACAGAGAAACTGTGAGTCAAGACGAATTTGAACTATACAGTTATCTTTTCACTTCAGGTGGAGCTGAAAATTCAGCTGGCTCGAGTTTGGGAGCCGGAGCTAGAGGTGGGGCAGGTTGCCCCACTTGATTTCAACCTGTGCCAGACAGCTGCCAGTGCCTATCACGAAGGGGTGTGCTCTACAGAAAACTAAGCCAGATGGTCACTGTCTAATTTGTGATTTGGTCAACAAAATCCTCACAGTACAAGCACAGTTTTTTTTTTTTTTTAAATCAACCTAGATACCAATTAACCTGAATTTCAAAATCTTATTTATGGAGAAAAACTTGTAAATTTGTGTAGACATTGAATGACTACTCAGGTAGACAAAAGGATGCCTCTCAAAGGTATATATCCAAGCTGAAAAGCATGCTGGTTGACAGATAGACACGTCTGTGGAGGAGCAGCCTTCCCCAAGGTACACTTTCAAGATTTAGAGTGTGTACTATGGTACTTTCACGCTATGAGTTGGGTGTCACTATTTAGTCTTGACGTCCACCTGCCTGTTCATACAGGACAGCAAATCACTTTCATGCTTGGAGAATAGAAAAGCATGTTTGTATCTTCATTTTTCTACCAGTCTAGGGACAAAGTAGACTGAGTATCTTTACAGCTGGGTCAGCCGGTAATTTGGTCAGTGTAATTCAAAGAGCTCTCAAACTAAAGGCACAAGTTCATGAAATGTCAAAGAGGGGCTCTCTATGAAGTATTCTAAACACTTTTCAATGGCTTTTGTAACTTCAGCAGTAATTTGCTGAGCATCACACAGACCATGAATGGAATCAGCAAAGCATTGAAATTTCACATTTTGATAGTATTCTGTATCACCTTCAACATTTCCGGTTTTAAAAACTTCAGAACTGAAACCAGACGAATTAATAAACATCTTTAATTATTATATCCTCAGATCTAGGTCATTTAGAGTTAGTTGCTTTTGATACTTAGCTGTCATATTTAGAATTCAACATACATGGAGATGAGGTTGGTTTTTTAGAAATATTTCCGCTCAAGTTTTCAGACCACGTGTGAGTCACCAGGGTATTTCTTATAAAACAATTCAGGCAGATGTGTGTTTACCTCCCTGTTCTGTTGCTTTTTACCTCTATAACCCTAAGCAGGTAATGCGCCTTCTCTGAGACTCAGTTTCTTCCTCTGTAAAATGAGGATTTATTACCTACCTCATGTGGTTGTTCGGTGGTTGTGAAAACATAGATTCTCAAATCATTAAAAGCATTATTCTCAGACAAATAGGTGAATTAAGTTCCAGTTGATTTAACTGCAGAATAACAGAAGAATTTCAAAAGAATATAAAGAATTGGAATTTAAGCAATCAGGGGGAAGATGGATGACATGAGATTGCCAAGTTAAGATATAAAACTGGTTAGTGTCCTACAGAGACACATAATGCAACTATAACCTTGGAGATAAATTTCTGTACTAGAAAACAGAAGTAAAGTATCCTGCCTTATGGTTTACTACAAATAAAGCTCCAAGTCTACAGCGTCCTTATTCTTGTCCCTATTAAATTGTTAGTCAAACAAAGTTGCATTTCCCAAGAGAGTCAGATGACCCTTGAGTGGGCTTGATGCTTATTGGGCTATGTGATATTTATATAGGCCGATCTTCTTTTTTTTCCCCTTAATTCCCAAATCTGGGATCATTTTTCCTGAATATGATTTCAAATGAGAAAATGTGTGCAAAAGAGTCTAATACAGAGCTTTAATCATAATAACTGTTTTTTATTAGATCATATTTATGCACATTAATTCTATTATGGGATACAGTGTGTTTTTCCATATACAATTTGAAATACTTTCATCCAATTGGCCAACATAGCCATCATGTCATTCTCATAATTGTTAAGACATTTATATTCAACATTTAGAAAGATTCACATGTACCCTTATAGGAAAAAATCATAGGCGTGATCCCCGCCATCACCCTCCCTTCACCCATCCTTCCCCCTCCCCTCCCCTCCCGCACCCCTTTCTGTTTATAGACATTTCTTTTTCCCCTACACACTGGCTAGTCGTACCCAGATGTTAGTTCTCAATGTCCAATTTGTCATTAGTTTCACTGTGTTTGCTCACTTTTTGTAACATTTTTGAAAGATTTGAAAACTTTCAGTAAATGTTTTGGCACGATTAGTGTTGGATGTTGTCTCTTCTTTATGGGAAATTCATTGGGAAGATTTTTGTTACTTCAGTCCATTGATTTTTTTTTCTCTCTCTCTTCTTTAAATGACCTGGGAAAATGTACATCATTGTTACGATCAAAGTCATGAATAAAATAAACCAGTAGGACTTATGCGTGGGAAAGATAAGAAATGATCCAATTTTTCAAATTAACTTTTAATTAAATAAGGCTGTTTGCAAACAAGCAGTTTGGATAATTGTGAGAGAAACATTATCAGTTTCATTTGGCCCACAAGATCTCAGTAAACTCACACACCCATTGCTAGATCATTTGATTACAAGTGCCAGGGATTAATTTGAACCTGAAGATGAAAAGTCTGAGTGCTGGGTGGTGATGGTGGGGTCATGGTGAATAATAAACTTTTTTGCTGTCTTGCTTTATTCCTTTTTGTTCATTCCTCTCTCTTTCTTTCTTTCCTTTGGAGGTATATGCACTTGAATCCAGATGAGAGAGACAAAGAGAGCAGGGAAACACAATTTATAACTGCCTATAATAGCTCAAAACCTGGACTAAGACATAAATGTTATCAAATTCTTTGGAAAGAACATTCCCCCCCTAGATTCAAGAATAAAATAAACCAGTAGGACTTATGTGTGGGAAAGATAAGAAATGATGGTCTCAAAGACCCTTTCTCATTTGCCTCTTCTGTGAGCTCTGCTTGCTAATATTGCCTTACTATGTATTGACAAATTGTCTTTGATTGCGGAAAAAGGGAGCTAGAGGAAAAACAAGAGAAAGAGAGGAGAGATTTAACCGTGTGCTGTCTGGAGGGAAGGGCCTGGCTCTTGTGCCGCTTTGTAATAAGCCCGCAGGTCCTGCTGTCTCCAGCTGTCTCAGCTCACCACCCAGGTGCTCCCCTAAACCTGGTAGTGGCATTCACCCGGGTCAGCTGAACACACTCAGCTTCCTGCTGATAATTCACTAAGATACTACCTCCTTTCCTCTCTACCATTTAAAAAAATCAAAACCACAAAGATAAGGTACTCCCAGTAAGAAGAGGACCGTTTTAAGTCCTTCCCTACATTCTCCTGGGGCTTTGAGAAGAGGCCTGGGGCCTCAGCTCCCACAGGATTTCAGCTGTGAAACAACAGAGCTTGAGAGATTTTTTTTTTGTAAACTTTGTGGTTTATGTATCATTCGTACACAAACTGCATTCTACCTTATGACAATGTTGTGAAGTTATTAAGACACCCACGTTAAACCCATTTTTAGGAAGAGGAAATTGAGGCATAGAGAGGTAAGTGCTTTGCCCATTAACACAGAGAAAGTAGGACAGTTAGAACTCATTAGGATCTGACCCCAAATCTAGAGCTTCTACCTGCCTAGGAAGGTAAGACATAGGGTTTCTAAATAGTCTGTCCTCTTTCTAAAGCAGGGGTCCTCAAACTTTTTAAACAGGGGGCCAGTTCACTGTCCCTCAGACTGTTGGAGGGCCAAACTGTGGGCCACGGGACAAGTCGGCTGCTAAGCAGGACAGGCAGCAGTGGCAAAAACACCCGGTGGGCCGGATAAATGTCCTCGGCCGACCGCATGTAGCCCATGGGCTGTAGTTTGAGGACCCCTGTTCTAAAGCATCCTTTAACATCTCAGGTATGCAGATTTAGGGCAGGGGTGCGAACAAATGTAAAAATGTTTTGAAATGTTTGTTTCTGGTGTTCTCAGTGTGCATAAGGAAAATTTCCTCCTTTCTTTTCCTTTAGCATTTTGTGAAATTAAATAGGTGTAGAGGGCAGACAAAGGAAAGAAGCCATGTCTCACATTGTTATAAAAAGTCACTAGGAAATGGAGCAAATCAGAAAGGCTGTACTTCTGATTTTTATGGTAATAAAGTGGATTAATCAGTGTGTGCCCAGAATGCCTCAAGATTAACCTCATCTAATTATTTCAGTTATATGACTTAGAATTATTGTTTTATATTACAAAGAGTAGGCACAAAGTTAATAATGGAAGAATCCAGAAATGAGGATGACTAACAGACTTCATGATGGGATTTTGCAGGGCAGGGGTCAAATAACCAAGTGAGGTTACAATTTTCCAATTTTTACATTAACATCTGGTATTAAATGTCTACAGTTTGCCCTACTGCGTCACATTTCATTCCTTGGTGAGAAATCATAAACTTTTGCAATTCTCTAGCTTGAGTCTTTCACTGAACTGCCTGGAAGCCAGACCTAAATGACCCATGTATTTCAAAATACTTATTGCGAAAGATTTGGAGGGTCTTGATGGGCTAATCTGTAGGTCTGGGGCTATGATTTAACCAAGAAAGAGCCTATCGGTCCTTGAATTTCAAAAATTTTTGGCTTATCTGTTCCTGTAACTGGTGCGGAATGCAAACCAGCTTGGAGCTGTGTACGTAAATGTCTGGAGTTCAAGAAATAATAATAATCAGCTGGCCAGAAATCTCTGGCGATTTCAATTCCGATTCCCATAAGGCTTATATGGGCAAGTTTAAGTTTTTAATAAACCACAGCCTTGAGCTTGTTCAGAAAAATCTTATTGGCGTAGGATGCGTGGAAAGATGATGGTTAACTTAATTTGGAAATAAAGTAATGGTCAAGGAGAAATCTAGTCATTTCACTGTCACAGATGTTTCTATACTCACTGCCTTGTTCTTGGTAAATGTGGTCAGTGATTAGGAACTTTCTTTGATGGCTGATGAACTTCTTGTCCCCTTTCTGACTCTCATCAGTATGTAGTACTATATAGATTACATAAATTAATGGTGCATCTTTTAAAGGAGAGCATCCTAGATTCCATGAACTATGGTACTAGATTAGAACTTCCCCAAGGGCACACAATCTCCCTGCACTCAATGCTTAGCCCCAAAGTGCCAAATTTCTTAGCACATTTCATCTGAGATGTCTGCTAGATGTAAGTCATGTGTAAACCTTACATGAAGAACCTGAGTGTTGAGAAGCCCCAGTGACTGAATGCTGGAAAGATTTGAATTTTTCAAACCTAAGGAATGAAGGGGTAGTGCATTCTGCCGAACAGCAGAGATCCTAATTCCACTCACCCCTAAAAATGTACCCTGAGGGGCAGGAACCCTGGATGCTTCAGCAAATCAAGGCCTTCAGAGCAATGGCTCTGTGTCCAGCAGCTTGGTCTCTGGCCAGCAGAGAGCTGAAAGGGAGATCAGGCCCTGATATGGAAAGCCAGACATTGACAGGGGCAACATAGGGACTTGAAAATATTGTCAGCCATGAGGGACTAAAGATGAGGCCCTCCCCTGTTTCTTGGGAGCAGGTAAGACCTGAGATTCTTGGTGTTGGATCCAAGGGGATGGAGTAGACATACTGGAGGTTCACCGCCAGTCTAATTTAATATGGAAAGGTAAAAGAATATGTGGCTCACCTCCCAGTTCTGGAGAGCACCTGCACTCATTGTGTAATTACCTTCTCCACATCCTCATCCTGGGTAGCTCTAAAGTTTGTATTTCTCAGAGTCAATGATGACTGAGACAGGGCTGTCAGGTGGGTGGTTTGTCTTGGATCTCTTCCTTCAGTCCAGTCTTCTTACCACCTAACAACACTCCCTTTCCCGTCCAGGTTACTTTTCTAAGTCTGTCTCAGTTACCTGCTATAACTCCTATAAAAGTGCTCTGGGTGACATTCTTACCTTCTCACGGGGGACTGTATACATTCTTTTTGATACAGGAATCCTCTTCAAAAGAAGCCAACAGATGGCATTTAGCCTCTGTTCAAATGTGCCCAGTGATGAGGGCTCATGAGCTCAAGTCAGCCGTCTCCCTACGGGACAACCCCGAGGTGGAGAAAAGTCCTTCTCCTGATCAGAGGTAGGTTTCCTCATCATCACTACCTGCTTTGCCTTTGGAGAAGAGACTGAATAAGTCTCTCCCAGGTGATAGCTCCTCAAATATTTGAAAACAGTTGTTCTAGCCTTTGTTATTATCCCTTCTTTGAGTTAAATAAC